TACAGCACCAGGTTCGAAATCCAAAGATACCGAGCGAAAATCTCGACATATCTCCTCGCTCTGCAAGAAAACCGGATCCGCCTGTGCGTGGAAGTTCACACGCTGTCTTCAAGAAGAATTTACATTACGATCAAAAAGAACGCAATTTCGGTTGGAAAAAGAAGGATATCAGACGCACCGTTAACCGCGGGAAGAAAGTTAGCTAGAAGCAGCAACGTTGCAAAAATTCCCCGGAGATCGACATCGCTGCTATCGACCTTTTATTTCTTGGGGTTCGTAGAAAACCTCCAGGATGCTCTATCAACTAGAGGCGTGATAAATTCTCCTGTACTTCGAATGTATTTCACACTGTTTCGCAATTTTGTTCTCACCTTTCCTTCAAAGACATGCGTCAGAGATTGAATGTCACTTTTGTCCTCATCCATCATTGATGGATTTGTCCCCAACATTTGTCCAAGTTTAAGTGCTTACTTCTTGTCTATTACATATATGATATTCTTTATGTTGCACCGAACTTATGCTATCACTATCTCAGTGCACTCTCCACCACAACGAGTTGGTATAAGAGCAAGAATACACTGGAATTGACCTTCACGATCTTCTTAAGTTTAGGCGTATAGAAGAAAACCACAATACCCCATGAGGTCTAACCTTTTACCCCTGTTGCGTTTTCTTGTAATACTGTTAAACGCATTCGGTTTACAGTACTAAATTGCCGAACTACAAATCAAGTTCTTTCATTAAGCGAAATCAGATATTTTCGTGCCATAAACGGAATATTCAAATTATTTTATCAACTCTGCTCTTTCTCATCCTCATTTTGACCATCTTTGAAAATAATTTTTACTACCCGCTGTCATTGCATTTGTTTCCCGATTATCTGAAAAAATTCTTCATTTTCATCTTCCATCGCCGCTTTTCCTTTTGGGTCGAGCAGCCAGACGCGTCAGACAGTGCTTCCAACGTTCACGATCCTGTGCCAGAGTCTCAGCTTCGGCAAAACACAACTGGAGTCTGGAACAGACTCCTTCCATATATTTGCACCAGGTTAATCCTCGCCGTCCCCTGGGCCTTCTGCCGGTCGGATTTGTAAGGAACAGTTGCTTTGCCTTCCTTTCTGGAGGCATTCGCAACACATGCCCAAG